AGGGGAGAAGCTCAGGCGTTGTCGGCTAGGTGACAACTAAAAATGATAGCCACTCACGGGGATATTTTGAAACGTGTTCGTCTGCTGATCCAGCGTCTTCATTGTCGAGGCGTGCCGGCAGAGCGGACTTGTCGTAACGCACGAAAAGCCAGAATAGTACCAGGAAAACTATTTGCACAATCATCAGGACAACGTAGCCCGACACTTTGCTCGCCGGCGTATGCATGATGGACCCCGCAAAAATGCAACAAAAAATTTATCGAGATGTATATATATCTATATATATTTTGTGTATGTACAAGACGGTCGTCGATGGTGATTGGAGTTGTGCTCGGTTCTTGCACAGCGACTCAAATCCGCGCCGTAGCCGTTGCAGCACGCGTGTGGATACGCCGGGGAATTAGAAGCGTAAGTGCAGCAGACAGGAAGAATCTCTGTCCCTGACGCTGTCTCTGTCTCTTTTCTGAGCAAATATTTGTACGCTTTTTAGTTTTCGCGCGTGCACATACACATACACACACACACGCGTTAACTGGCACACGCGAAGTGGAACGATCTGCTGCTGTTGAGCGCAATGCACGTACTGATGCCCAGCTCTGGGTGCGAGGCTCGTAAGTAGCTGTAGCGCTCGACTGCTAGCCGTTCAACGGGGCGTATGTGCGATATATCCGCGTCGATTTATTCGCATGATATAACTATTTGATTTAATTTGCTTCGGCTACAGCTATTGCTGCTATGGCTGCCTCTGCACTTGCTAAATAATTCAGCGCACTGCCCCCTAAAAAAAAACCATTTGCATTGTGCGCTCGCATTCGCATTGCTTCTAATTTATTTAAATTGTTTTGTTTTAGTTGCATTCTAATTTCAATTTGAAATCGTTCTGTGACCGTGCACACTTTAATATGTTGAAGTGGCGAAATGACTATTTCTTTGTCCACAGTGAGTACATCTATATTTCTTTAAGTGTATTCTTTGCTGAATCATTTTTAGTCATTTCATGCTATTGAAACTTTTATATTATGATTGGTCTCATTAGCCTGCATGGCTCGTTCTAGAATTTCTGTAACTGATAAGCGATATAGTAACCGCTGTAAGTCAGTTAAAGAGATATGTCTATGTGCATACGTGCACACATAGATAGTTGGATAAGCTCTTTGTTGTCTTTAGCTGATCGCTATGAGGCAATTAGCACGCCGTCGCCAACAATTGCCGATAAAGTGCTTTGGATACAGTTAACTAATGGAGCAGCCGATCAGCTGGTTATTCAAAATGCGGGTCATCCCCTCACTCCACTCAAACAATTGCCAGTCATTAACATTTTTTTCGTAGTTAAGTGTGAAATTAATAGAGCACAATAAGAAACGTTGCGAGTCGCACATATATGCAAAGAGCGGACAGCTTAAATTGGGTTGCGTACACAAAAACAAATTGAAGGAAATGTTACGTAAACTTATAGAATATATTAAATAAATATAAATAACTTAAATAAGCTTTAAAAAAAAAGAGTTCAGATTATAGAATTTATAATATTTATTTGATTTCTAGTCTAAAGTGCATTTAAGTTAAAGATAATATGAGAAAAAACTAATAATAAAATATATAATAAATAAGTTAGAATGATCATGATCATTTCACTTATTGCCGATGAAAATATGAAAGAAATAAATGTATCAATATTTTATAAAAATAATAAAAATAAATAAATTGAAACAAATACACAGCTTGTCGTCGCTCGGTGAGGCAGCTCGGCAGTTGCTTAGGGCTCGGCTGCTGGGGCGTATGATTGATATTTATTTTTTCAACAAACACAAGCACCTGTGTTAAAAATTGAAATTCTCATGGCAGGGCAACAACAATAAAATAAATAAAAACACAAACCAATGCAAAAGCAAAAGCAAAGCAAACCGACACAAGAAAATGTGTGAAGTTGGCGTAAAAACCGCAAATGTTGCCAGGCACGCGCTGGTAAACGCTCTCAGATCTCTCGAAAAACCAAGAAAGAATGAAAAAAAAAAAAAAAAAAAGAAGTGGAATGGTAAAGTAAATCAGTTGAGGGTAGCTGACAGGGCAGGGTAGTGGCATACTATATCTGAGCCACGTTTTTTTTTTCTCTCTTCTTTTTTGTTGTGTGCTCCAGCTGCCTACACACACACACACACACATACACTTTAGCAGAAATTTGCATCCGCAATCACTTTAAATGTTTCCGTTTGAATACGCAAATAAATCGAAAAGGATTTCCAATGAATGCTTATGAGTGTGTGCATGTCCCTTCCCCCGCAACACCTGACATCCCCTGCTGCTTCTATTCGAGTAAACCCTTGTTAATGTTGTTGTTTACAACAAGTGTACATGGCTAAAATCCGGGCCAAAGCACAACAGCAACGACAACAACACCAACAGCAATTGATAACATTGTAAAATGGCTGCCAAACTGTCAGCTTCTCTAAGATGCAGCCCCAACCAGCGTCACGTTCGCCACCTTTTTTATTCAGCTTGTGGTCAGTCTGGGGCCAAGCTAAAAATATGTATGTGTGTATATGCTTTAGGTTTATGCTGGGCTATAAATAAATATGATGCGACTCTTCGCAGACATTGCATTGGGTCAGTCAGCAGCAGCAGCAGCAGCAATGTTGACGATTTGTTGATAAACTTTAACACTACCAGAGAAAGAGAGAGACTGAGAGCGAGTGAGTGAGAAAGCTGTTGTCTAGAGAGGCCCATAAGGGCGTTCCATGTAACTTTCTCTTTAAATCTTAAGACTGCTTCAGATTTGAGCTTTTCAAATTACAATAACAGTTTTAATTTTCTGTAATATTTTTTTTTTTCAATAAGCATTGGAAACAGCTCTTAAGCCGATTATAAACAAAGCTGTTTCGCATATCAGAGCTTATGAATGAAAATATTTTCTTAGCTTCGGATGTCGGTTTTATATATGGTTAATTATTTATTCTGGCGGAATTACTGCTGTTATTCATACTTTGATTTTTTGTAAAGAAATACTTAAATAAAGCTTGCTAATTCATTAGCTATTATATAGAGCAGTTTCTTTGTTTATAATTTGAAAACAGCTTTGATTCGACACATAAGAAACATGTTTCTAGGTTTTTTTATTAACATTGTGGAATGTTAAGTAGTTCAAAAACAGCTTTGTAGTCATATGATATGTAGATATAGCTTTATAAGCTCTATTATTCCACAGTGTTCTATTGTTATAAAATGTTATACTAATACTTTTTATACTATATATGGAGGAATTATTTATATCTAATTTCAATCGCGGCGAATGTGCTTTCCAAAACACGTTTGGCCATTTCTTTAAAACTCGCTGTGCAGTTACAACAATATATATGCCAATAAAGCCGCTCATATGAGAAGAATAACAACAAATGCAGACACACACAAACACACCGACAACATCGCTGGGACCAAGTCCTTTGTGTGTGGCTTTGTTATGCCAACCAAAACCAAAGTATCCTTCAGGCTGGGCTGCCTGACTAGCTTTGCCGGCATTTGTATCGCCGGCTTTGCCCTCTTTTGGAAGTTTTTTCGTTTTTTTTTTTTCCAGTTTTTAAACTTGGCTACGTTACACAAATTTCCCACAGTCTGTGCACCATTGCCCCATATGGCCCACTGTGCTTGCATGTGTGGTATAGAGCTGCTATTGTGGCTGGGGCTGCGGCGGTGGCTGCTGCTGCTCTTCTTGCTACTGCTTCGTCTGCGGGTGGTTGCGCCTAAACGATTTGCTTTTTGTCTGTTTTGTGTCAATTTGAAATCCGCTTTGGTTATGCGGCTGCAGCGGCTGCGGCAGCGGCAGCGGCCACGTCCGCCACCCCCCCTAGATGGCTCTGTGCCTCTTGTTACTATAGCAAAGATTTGCGCAGCGCCAATTGTTGGCATTTACAGCTACTTGGCTGCCATAGCAGCGGACCGTGCGGTTCCGCCCCGCGGCTTCCCCAGCATCATCAGCTTCAACTTTAGCTCCAGCTTCAGTGGCAGATTCAGCTCAGCTGAAGCTGTAGCTCAAGTGCCGCTCGGGGATTTATCAATTGCGTTCATAACAAATTTCGATTTGTCAGCGCAAAGCGGGCGACTTGCATTTTTTTTTTTTTTTTTTTTTTTTTTTGCCAGCCAAGTGATATTGGGTGTCAGCCACAGGAAGTGGCATCCATAGCGGCAGATGTTACAGGCAACGATATAGACTGAGCTAAAGTTAAATATTTTAGATTTTTGTTAAGATTCTCATATAGATGACATAACTAAGACTTAAGCTAATGATGGTTAAATTATGTTTAGATTATAATACAAAATATCTTTTAAACACGAAAAAAATCTTTTTATAGCTATGAACTTTCATGACTTCAACTCTTATCTTTTCGATTAATTCCCAACATAATTTCTTTCCACATAAATCTCTCATTTGTAATCTGAACTCTCTTCGTGATCCATCTCACATCTCAGACCATCTCTTCCCATTTCAACTCAACTCTCTTGAACTCTGCAACAAACCATAAATATTTCTAGCCAAACACTAGCTAACGCCGCATCACTGACTCGCAGCTATCATTTACAGTGGCGCTTAAAAGTCTGCAACATATTGTGTAAGCTTAAATGCAATTCTCATAGCCTCCGCAAGTTATGCCACGGTCGGCTAAATAAGTCGGAGCAACTCTGGTCTAAGACCAGTTTCAGTTGACAACAAAAGCACCTTACTTAATAGTTAAGACAACTTTCAATCTGTCGCTTAGAGGCAGCCGACGCACAAATGCATATATACATATTAGAAGATAAACTGGATCACAAATCGGCATCAATAAAAATATCAAAAGCCAAGCCAAATTGAAGAAGCATTCGGACAATAAACGATAATAATACCGCAATAAATAGAAACAAAGCTTTTATCAAATTTACATTTTATATGTAATAAAAGTTTATTCGATTTACTGATAAAAAAAATGGAATTAAATAAAATAAAAAGCATAGAAGTATCGTATGCCGTTTGGTTTGTTTTTTAATTGACTCAATGACACGAGCTATCGATTAGCGCTTCCGGATATTTTTTTAGGCAATAGTCGTGGCATGCGAAGGTGTCACCGGTACTGGCTGCACTGGATGTAGTGGCTGCATGGGCTGCGCCGGTTGCACTGGCTGCGCTGTACCAGATGACGGATCGTGCGTTGGTGCCGGTGTATAGGTGCTTGCCTGCTCTGGTTCCTTGTCCAGAATTATCTTATACATGGCAAAATAGAGAGCAGCACCTAGCAGGAGCTCTGCAACAGCAACACAGGTGACTACTGCCCAGCCAGGTATGGCAAGGCCAGCTGCAATGAGGAGTCAATAGATTAATAATGAGAAGGAACCATTATAATGCGCTTATTGATTGAGGCTAGTTCCTTGATTTACTGAAGTTTACTAAAAACTGTCAGATTACAGCATCTGAATATCTGAAATAGTACTTAAGATAATATCTCTTCAAACTTTATTTCTTCTACTGTCATTACTACTTTGGATAGATTTGTCTACTGCTTTGATTGATGTTGATTATCTAAAAAGAATTCTCTCTAAATAATCAATTAGCTTCTAATTTACAAAATGCAAACTTCGATTTAGCTTATGTCACCACTATTTTGTTGATTGATAATGATTGATGGTGTTTCAGCTTGACTTACTGAAGTATCTGCGTGTGAGTGTGCGTCGTCCGCGATTCACGCGTCGCGTGGCCTCTGTTTCCTGCATACAGCATGCCAATAGAACTGTAAATAAAGAATAACAATACAAATTATGATATTTAGCACCTTGTTGATGATTATCAATATAGAAAGAGAAAGAGAAATAAACAAAGAGCGAGAGCAAAAACAAACACAAAAACAATTATTTGAAGAACGCATTGTGTGTGGTCCGCATCAAACAGAGCGAACGATGAGACGCTAGAACGGAACTCATTGAAAACGAAGTTGAGCATTCATCAAAGAAAACATAGCAAAGCGTTGTTAAAATATTCATAATTAATTATTATGAAAACATTTAGCAACAACTCAAAAAATAAAACAAAAGCAAAACATGTATAAAACGATCTGCGCGCGCGCGCGTTAGCTTCGATGATAAATTGAATGGAAACCGATGACCGAGCTCGTGGAGAGCTACTGACAGGGGCGCGAAGCGTGGGGGGCTTGCATCATTTGACGTCTACTCTGCTTACTATTGTTTCCATTGCGGATGTCAACTTGGATAGTTATATCTCTATTGTCTCGATTGACATTCGGCCTTTTGTAAATATTCAAAAATTTAATTATCGTGCGAGAATCGGAATTTGTTCCAAAAAGTCGAAAGCGCAGAGACCGCGACCAATGCATTGGTCAACCGCTGAAGCCCAAACTAATTGTTTTTCCATCGTGTTTCATAATTTATATGGTGTAATAATAATTGAGCTTTAGCCACATCCGGCATTAGCTAGTGCTCTTGCTGTGCATTAAATTAAGCTTTAGCCAAATCAAATATTTATTAAATAAATCGAAAATATGTTTAGAAATAAATGATGGCAATGAATGAAAAATTTAGATAGCCGTACCAAATACAGTTACAACAAAGTTCAATTTAACCTTTAGCTATTACTCATTATCAAACAAACACAATGATTGGGTCAACGCTGGTGAGTAAACCAGCGAAGCTTATCAACTTTAGTGGAAGGCAACTGATAAGCACACACTTATTGTCAACGCTCCACCCATTTAAGACTCTCTATATGACACACGCACGCACATAGTAATGTTACTCATAGCTCTTCGCTCTTAGTTGGTTTAGTCATTAGAACTTTACACATTTTGTAGCCACTTTGTTGTGAAAGGGCTAATAACTTTTCGGGTTTACAGTGTTTCTACACTCTAAAAAGCTAGATAGATTGAGCAATTTAATTAAAAATATATGCACAGTTTATTACTGATTCATTTATCGTTTTATACATATGTTTTTTTATTTTTTTATTTTTTTTTATGTCGATTCTTTTTGAGTTCTTATTCACTAAACGAAAATTCAGCCTAATAAAAATCAAATCTATTTCATTCTTAACTCATTTTTGGCACCGTTTAAACTTAATTTATACACAGAATTCACAGCTTTATTTTCTCTGTCTGAAGTAATTCTTCAACATCCTTTTTTAGAATTTTACTTAATATATTTCAAGCTCCGCTAGATTTTAAGCACAAGTTTGAGTCAAGTTTTAGTATTTTCGTTAAGTGGAGCTTCTTCACATTTCATTTCATGGCCGCACCAACATTCACATTCGACATATATATTCCACTAAAAACTTTGCACACACACTTAAATCACATAAACTTTACCCAGACATATCATCAAACAGGTGGAGAACTTCTTGAGCAACATCATTTTGAGTTGTTCGTTAGGTTAGAGCTCGTTTTCGTTGCAAACTGTAAAATGAAACTGAAATATTTCACTCGATTTTTGGCGAGCAAGAGGTACGCGTATCTTATCTGTAGACCTCTGTTGTTAGCATAATACTAATGGCAGATAAGATAAGATAAGCAGAGACTTACACGGAGTTTGCGCAATGCTAGCAAAGAGCAGAGATAAAAGGCAAAAGTATTTTTTTTTTTTTTTTTACATGTTTATTATTGTTTCTTGTTTTTGTACTCGAATAATTCTTTCTCATTGACTAATACGCTTATGTTAACTTCGTTTGAGATTGCCATAGCCTGGTTTTTTGTTGGCAACCTCAGTTCCTGTATTTCATTGGGAGKGTATCTTTAGTGGCGACGGAGCTTAAGACGACGGACAGTCTTGTAGCGGTAACCATCATCGGCAAGGATGGGAGTCTCGGCGGGAACATCGATCACGGCCTGCTCAACAGGGGGCAGGTACTCGTTGACAATCTCGGAAACATCACGACGCTGGCGGTACTTCAGGCGACGGACGGTCTTGTAACGGTAGCCATCATCAGCCAGAGGAGCGGATTCGATGGGAGCAGCAATGCTGATGTCCTGGGCAACCTCAGCAACAGGGGGCAGGTACTCGGCGGAGGGCAGCTCGTTGACATCACGACGATGACGGAGCTTCAGACGACGGACGGTCTTGTAACGGTAGCCATCATCAGTTAGCACTCCCTGATCGACGGGTAGGTCGATGGGCTCAGCGATGACTTCGAGGTTATTGTCGATAGGTGGCAGGTACTCCGAGGAGATGGATGTAGCCGCAGCAGCTGCGATCACAGCAAAGGCAATAACAAAGAATTTCTGCAAAGGTAGTAGAAGTTGGAGTTATAGTTGATTGAGCTAGTCCTGTGTTTGATTTCCAAGAGGAGGTAGGAAGCTGGCAGACTAACCATATTAAAAGATGCTCCCTGACGATGCGTGTCTATGAGATTAATCCAAATTTGATTCTGTTTTGAAACCAGACCTTACGACACTATTTATACACAGCATTTTGCGAAAAAGTTCTCGCCACAGCCACTCTGCCATTCACTTTAGAGACGATCCAAAAAATGAAACCGGTTACTGATCCATGCGGCAACTACCGCATCATAGATGTACGATCGAGATCGTCTGATGCTAATGCTGATGTCGATCGACTTCGTTCAACGCGACTACTTCAACTCCATTGATGGCCGGCATTAGCCGCGTTTAGGTGGTTTGTCTTGTTGGCTAGTTGCCATTGTTAAAAGTGTCTCAAGTCAAAAAGTATATCAATTGTAGTCAGTCGTCTGGACATAACATTCAGATACTAAATAATATAAAAAACACATATATCTAAATATATACGTATATAGATATATATAAAACAAAACGAAAGCCAACAATAGATTGCGATGTCGATAAAAAAAGCTTCTATAGGTGAAACAACAACAACAATAGCATGTTGAACGTGGCGGCCACGATTTCTGAATTTGGCGTTTGCTTATTTTATTTATTTTGTTTAACTGTCTCAAAACGCTAACAGAATCAACAATAGTTGAGGGCTCTTTGCATTCTTCATCTTCTCGATTATTTGTATCAAAAATTATGGGCTGTGTTGCATATGAATGGCTGCGGTTGGGGTCAATCTGAACAATCAAGTCAATGCCTAGTCGCCTGGTAATTGCAAGCGGAAGTTGTCATTGTCGTTGTTGTTGTTATTGTTATTATTGTTATCATTATGAACGCTTCTTCAGTTTATTGACTGATGGACAGCTGCGTATATTGTTTTATTTTGTATTTTATTTATTTATTTTTTTATTAAAAAAAATTTTTTTTTTTTTTTTTGCGTCTCTTGAACAACGCTTAAGGCCAAACGAAGTGTGTGTGCGTTTTGTGGTGTGGTGTATGCCATGATGGACAGAAATGCTCTTGAGTGTTGCTATTTTCGGTTACGCCACATTAGGCATCTAATAATAGCCAGATGATATAATAGATCTTTCAATCCAATCGCAAACTTTGGCATATTTTTATTCTCCTAATATGTGCTTATAATATACATTCATATGTGCTTGGCCCGTGGCAATTTAAATTAAAATTCAAGTCTGCTGTGGCTGCTCCAATTGTGCGCAAAACACGCAATAAATCTCACAAATGTTTTCGATTATCATCATCAGCAACATAATCATCAAGTTGAAACATTATTATGGTGATCTTTCAAGTAGGCGTCTGAGAATGTCGAGCTTAGAATGTGTTGAAGCATTCTCAATCTTGTTTCATGTTATATTTCTGGTGTCCATGACCTTGGAAAATCTATTTTCGTTCAATTCTAAACTATATTCAAGATAACTAGTGCATATGCTTCCGACCAGTTTAAAATCTATAGAAAAGCACAATGATATATATACTTATGCTCCTGTTTCATTTTCGTCATTTATTCATATGTAAATGACGCACAAAAAAATATATATTTTTATTTGTATACGTATACATATATTCTCAACCATTGCTATATAGTATTCTGCATATTTAATTTATATCTGGCAATCAACATCATCATCAAAATGCCACTGCCCGGCACGTGGCACCGTTGGTAAAAACTGTTATAAACAAATAGAATCGCAGTTGCAGCTTGTGCCGGACCTCGCGTCGGGGGAAAAATATTGATATATACACATATATGTAAAACGCAGGAATAAAAAAAAATATATATATGTATATGTATGATGGCCAGGTCTGGTCGGACGATCCTTCGTGGGCAGTGAAATACACTACGGCTGCCATTTTCAGTTTCATTTTCAATTCATGCATCCGTTCGCCCCGTGTTGGCTTATAATATGTGTAACTTATTGTGTGGCACATCCGGCTTGGGGCCCGTCCGTGGGTCAATTTTCAATCATCCAGCTGGCAGAGGCAAGCGGTGCCCCGATTAATCCAATGCATCTCCGTCTGGGAGCACCTCAGCTGCAGATACATTACGAAATTCGTCGAATGGCCCGTGGTGGAGAGAATGCCGCGACGTTCGCTGGTCTTATAAACGGGACAATTGTAAATGGGGAAACCATCAGAGCCAGCTTTGGGGCGTGGCACCTCACCACCGCTGCTGCGCGGTATGTCCTCTGGCATTCGAAGCACTGGACGTAAATAGATAACAGGCAGAGTATCGAACAAAATTTTGGAAAACGATTCGTCCACCTCTTTAGTCTTGCGATTCCAGCGAGCGCCCTCTATAAAAATTCCCTGTTTCCAGAAAAGAAAGAAGAGACGAGTTATAAATTTGCGATTCTTTTCAAAAAGAAGAAAGCTATGCAAAGTCGTGCAGAATGACATAAACGTGAAATGTGGACTTGTCCCATATTGGTATAGAATAAGAAGTTTGCAAATCTCGAACTATAATATGAATTTAATTTAGAACTCGCAAAAACAAGATGCACGAGTTCAAGATGATGGGTATAGTCAAATGAAAGAATGAAATAAAGAAATAAAATATGTTAAGAGTAAATTTAAACTCAGACTCAAAGCTATTAATGTAATTAGCTTAGAATTAGAAAGAAAATTAAATTGGGTAGTTAACTTGTTAGTACAACTTTGAATATTATTCTTATACAACCCATTTAACTTGCACTTAAAATGAAGACTAAAGTAATTAAAAAGTAATTAGAGTGCTGCTGAGTGATCTTAAAGAAAGATTATTTGTGTGATTTATTATAAAGATAATAAGTGAAAAAATGCAACAATATATCAAACTCTGACGAAACGCTAATTATATAATTATTTACCAAACTACAGAGAAATTTAAGTTAATTTTCTTGCTATAAATTCCCAATAGGCACTAAAGTTTTTCTTACTTGTATAAACTTTGTCTCGTCATTAATCTCTTTTTGTTCCTTAAGAGTTTAAAGTGTCAGCAAATGTAAAATTGTTCAAATATTTAACAAGTTTTTCAATTTGGTTTATTGCTCAGTCTAAGTGCCTTAAACTTACCCTTATATAAGCGCCCACACTGGCCACCTGCGTGGTTTGTGACTCAAATTTGGTGACGGCAAACTCAATGAAAATCATGTCGATCTGAAAGCGATTTTTGCGCGAATAGTTTTGCAGTACGCCCGTTATGAAAGATTGGGTGAAGTAGAAGCCCGATATCCAATAGACGTTCGGCTCGCCGTTGTCTATCCAATCCTGAAAGAAGGCCAAGCTGGACAGGCGGAGATAACAGGAAAAATGGGTAGATGATGAGTTATCTTATTTTTCAATTTGTTAATAAATATTTAATATTTGAGCACAAAGCAAAAGCACAATGCACTGCCAAGAGGATACACACACAAATGGCATCGTCCTTTGATGTCAATGGCAAATAAGATTTTCGCTATGAATGGCAACAGCAGCACATGCGCTAGGGCTATATGAAAGGTGGATGGAATGTATTCCACATATACATTTTTATTATATTTGCACAATTGCAGCAAAAGAACTCAACAGCAGCAGCCGGAGCAGCAGACGGAGTACAATGCCCATTGATGGCTGTAAAATAGAAATGTGACAGAGCGCACTCACCGGGCCAGAAAGTCGCTCACGTAGCTGCCCAGGGGCTTGAGCGATGGATAGCTCTTCTTCAACCAATCCGCTGGCAGTTTGCCTATAATCATGGAGGCGTGTGTGCGCTCCAGTTCGGGTATCATCGCTATCTGACCGACGACAGCCTTGCCCACATTCACCAGGCTCTTGCGTATATAAGAGAGCAGACGATTGAAGCGTATTAGCTCTTGTCGCAGCACCGTATTCATTGAATTGGTATAGATCACGGGATAGGTCTTGGACACCTCATCGAGATCGAATTCATCGGGCAGACGCGACAATAGCTCCTTACATATCGCGATGGCGGGATCCTCCTTAGCGCCGCCTGCAGAACTCGCCTTCACCGAGGCCATCAAATCGGTCTGTGTGAGCAGCACTCCACTAATGAGCTACGAGAAGAATAAATACAGATATATTTTCATTATAATATGTTATATGATTATATGAGTGTTATTCTATAACGCACCGCATTAGTTTCCTTCACATTACGATTAATATCCGCATTCTCATGCAAGCCATAAACCTCGGGCTGTGGACTGAGCGGAAATGTGGAAATATACTCAATGGAATTCGCTTTAGTTGGACTCAGTGGCACACAATAGTTGCCCGACTGTGACAAGGGATAGCTGACAGGAAAGATAGAATGTTATAAAGATTCATATATTAGTGGATTATATGAAAGATTTTACGTACTTATCAACCTCTATTGTATTGCTATTGTATATCATATTGAGCAGTGATAACATCAGTCGACGATCCTTGTCGTCGGTCACACGACCGCCGTAGTTGCACTCGCCGGTTAGGTATACATGGCCACGGAAGGGTATGCTATGGGACTGGGCGATGAACATCTTCAACTGCAGCAAGGAGATTCTAAAGGGAGAAGGTTAAGGGATAATTCGGAATAACGTATAGAAATAACATATAGGAAATTGACTACAGAAACTATTCACCATATCTTAATATTTCCTTTCATTGGATAATATTCTGAAATACTCACTTCAGATCCGACTCATTGAACTCGTAGGGTATATTCCAGCCAAGTGGTCCGAATTCGCGCCGCTCCTGCACGACGGCATGGAAAAAGACCAAAGCAAAGACACCGCGCGTCCAACATTTGTTGGCCTGGTCGGAGAACAGGAAAGCGTTTGTAAAGAACTTGTCGCGCATTAATGGATCCGAGGTAAATGAGCGGTGCATATTGGCGCGCAAGCCTTTGGGCGGCTCGTTTGTCATCTTCACCGAGTTCTGCAGCACCGAGACGGGGAATACAGAGCTGGGATACGAGGTGCACCACAGTCGATAGTCGGCATGTGCGTTTTCCGTTAATGTGGTGTCATTGCAAATACGTTCGAGGTCACCCATCCAGCTGAAGGCGACGTGACAATTCTGCAGAACGACCCACTGGCCGTGACGCACTGCGTCCGTGATCATCTTTTCTGCACGCGGTCCC